CCTCGGATCGAAGCCATCAAGTAAAAGGAAGTTGCTTGGAGTGCAAGACAATTATTCAAAGGAAGCTTCTTCATCATCAAGTCAACTCCAATAACTAGCTTCCCAACCACGTCATTTAATGCAACATCAAGGCAACTCCAATAACTAGCTTCCCAACCACCTCATTTAATGCATTGCGCTCTTACCCCTCTTGCATGTTCTTGTCATTTAATGTTGTAGTTGAGAATTCTAGCCTATATAAAGGCCTTGTAATGCATCATGTGTAATCAGACTTGTAGAATGTCTCAAACATTTCGAGTTTTATAAACTCTTCTTCGGTTTGCCCGAAATTTATCCCGATCTTCGGTGTGTCTGAGATCACGAGTTTGGTGTGTCCGAACTCAAGCCTTGGTGTATCCCAGGTCCATTATCTATTCTTCCCCTTCGTTCCGTCCATTTTTCTTTTCAGAATTACATCGAGCATCCCTTGATCCATGACTGATTTCGAGGACCAGCATTTGCCTTGAACACCATACCCGATTGAAAGTCGCGAGCCTTCTCTGTGAAGTGCGTGAGAATGCGATTCGGCCTTGTTCCGTCCTCTCCGAGCCAAGGCATGTAGCAGTCCAGTATTCCGTTCTCCAACGAATACCTATGATTGTGATCGTATCCAATACCCATGATCATCTCTATGATCATCTATCACACATCATACTAGTCTTAGTACATCATTGTTCCCACAATGATATATGACTAGGGAGTTTAGTATTGTTCATAACAATACATGGTTTTCATAACATATTAAAGTATGCATAACATGTAATGAATCAAACATTCATCCATAAAACCATAGAAAGTGTCAATACATCAAACGTATCATAAGAAAGCTCGTAAAACAGTACATCACAGAGCACTAAACCAACAATCTCCCACTTGCTCTACTCATGAACTGCTAAACATCTAATGCATAAGATACATCCGGTCGAGTACAAAGCATGACATACATGATGGATCCAATTTTCGAAGCATATAGAATCCTATTGATACACGCCTTGGCTCGGAGAGGATGGAATCTGATCCGAAACGCAATCACCCGCACTTCACGGAGAAGGCTCTCGAATTCACGTTCGGATTGTGGTTAAAAACGAAGGGGAATTGAATGGATCTTAGTTTCAATCACCGGCTCTAAGAGGCTCTCGAATTCAAAACTAAGACAAGAAAATGGAATGGATAGAAGGGGAAGAATAGATAGTGAACCTCGGACACACCAAGGCTTGAGTTCGGACACACCAAACTCGTGATCTCGGACACACCAAAGATCGAGATAAATATCGGACAAACCGAAGAAGAGTTTATAAAACTCGAAATGTTTGAGACATTCTACAAGTCTCATTACAAATGATGCACTACAAGACCTTTATATAGGCTATAATTCTCAACTACAATATTAAATGACAAGAACATGCAAGAGGGGTAGGAGTCCAATGCATTAAATGAGGTGGTTGGGAAGCTAGTTGTTGGAGTTGTTGATATTGAATTAAATGAGGTGGTTGAGATGCTAGTTATTGGAGTTGACTTGATGATGAAGAAGCTTCCTTTGGATATTGTCTTGCACTCCAAGAAACTTCCTTTTACTTGGTGGCTTCGATCCGAGGTATGCTTCCGTCAAGATCTTCGTTTCGAGATGTCATTGGATCCGATGTCCTCATCATTCTCTCTCTTCAGAAGTTTTGTCCTCATCATTCCCTCTCGCTTCTCCAGGTTTTGCCCTCAAAACTTATTTACGAAATAAACTGAAATAAAGGATAGATCTCACCGGGGTTAGACGTCCGTTGGCTCGAGCAAGCTCTGAACCAAAATGATACATCGGATAGAGGTTTCGCTCTCGATTATCATTTTGAGTTATGTCATTGTCTCGCCCTCCTTTCAGACCGCTTTTCATGGAGTATTTGCTCGAGGACGAGCAAAGGTTTAAGTCTGGGGGAGTTTGATGACATGTATTTTGGTGACATTTTGGTATAGGATGTCTAGTGCATTTTACTCGGTTTTGCATATTTATAGGCATTCTAGAGCATATTTGGTCTCGATATTGTTTGGTTGCTTTCTTTGGTGTCAAAACAGGTATTCATGCATAAAAGAGAGCAAAAGGAGTGGAAAATATGGACTACGGAACATCACAGACGAAACGGGAACATTTGGAGTTGTTCCGGAGAAAAAACATGAAGCCTAAAAAGTCAGATCTTGCAAGTCCAATAACTTCCACTCTATAAGTCCAAATCGCGTGTTCTCTACCTCATTGGAAAGCTCTCTTCAATATCTACGCATAGACACCAAGATCGCACAAATCCGACATTGGAGCAGAAAGTTATGAGCAAATCTGTCAAGCATATTCGAGTTGAAGAATCGACACGGACCGTGTTGCATTCGACACGGCCGTGTTGTGTCCGTGCTGAAAAAAGTGAAGTTTTGCTCAGAGAATTGACACGGACCGTGTTGGCATTCGACACGGCCGTGTTGATTCAAACTCGGCCGTGTTCAGCCCAAGTCTAAAGTGCAGATTTTTAACAGAGAATTGACACGGACCGTGTTGCATTCGACACGGCCGTGTTGCATTACGGGAAAACTTCCTATTTTGCATCCGGACTTCCGTTTTCAGCAAAGGAAGAAGTCCAGTTGCCAAGCAAATAAATAGGAGACGTCTTGAGTTTCAGAAATCATCGAGAGATCACAGGAGAAGCCAGAGAACTCGAGAGAGAATCAAGACGGAGTTTCCCGGGAGCAGAGATTGAAGAATCGTCGTCGAGAGATCGCTGCGAGTCTTCTTTATCAGTTTCTATGTTTCTTCTTATTGATTT